CAATTTTTTAATTTTCTTCATTAGCTTCCTCTCAACGTGATCTTTTTTATCCTCACTACTCATTCTTTTAGGACTTCATTATTTTTAGAAAATGTACTGTAGCACGTTTACTAGTAATTACAAAAGCTTGTTTTAATTACAGTTGTCAAAGAATATGTTTTGTGATGCATTATTGTTGCTGCCGTTTCTAATTCATAACTATTCTCTACCTTTAACAGGTAGAGACAGGAAGTTAACCGTTTTTTTTTAAGTGATGTGTCTGGATCAGTTTTTGTGGTGAGGGATGGCTTTGGTTAGCTTCAAAGAAGTGATCTGGGGGGAGAAGGAAGAGGTATATGTTGGGGATCTGATCAACACCTATAAATACTTAAAGGATGGATGTCAGGAGGATGGGGACAGTCTTTTCTCAGTGGTGCCCAGGGAGAGGACAAGAGGAAATGGCACAAACTTGAATATAAGAAGTTCCATCTCAACATGAGGAGGAACTTCTTTCCTGTGAGGGTGGCAGAGCCCTGGAACAGGCTGCCCAGGGAGGTGGTGGAGTCTCCTTCTCTGGGGACATTCAAAACCCACCTGGACATGTTCCTGTGCAACCTGCTGTGGGTGGACCTGCTTTGGCAGGGGGTTGGACTAGATGATCTCCAGAGGTCCCTTCCAACCCCATATTCTGTGATTCTGTGGTTAAGAATATCCATGTTGCTTCTGTTGCCCACTCAGAATGGTTTGTGTGTCTATGTTGAAATAGGTGGTTAAAATTGAAAACTGTTGCAATCCAATATGTATTAAATGGGGGAAACTGAGAATCATTTCTATTGGAACACTGTATTCGGTGAGTGAAGACTGTAGTTTTGCTGACCCTCATAATCTACAGGAATTACAAACCTTTCTCATCTTCAATTTTATCTCCATGCAAACATGAATGCATGGGACTCTACATGATGAGTGAATGAAGTCCACTGCAGAAGGGTTTCTGGGCAGAGCAATTTAGTGGACGTCAAAACCTCAATAACTGTTTCACAAGGTGACAGTCATAGTCTGTACCTGAGGGACGTTAGTGTCAACGAGCACATGAATTCACACCTACAGATACCCTCATCCAGCAAACCTCGAGTTGGAAAACAACCGGTGAATCTCCAGCAATGCACTGGTGAAAGGTCTTTTTTTATGAGATTGGGTACTGGTTTTAAACTGAGGGGAGATTCAGATGAGTTATTAGAAAGAACTTCTTTGCTGTGAGGGTGGTGAGAGCCTGGCCCAGGTTGCCCAGAGAAGCTGTGGCTGCCCCATCCCTGGAGGTGTTCAAGGTCAGGTTGGAGGGGGCTTGGAGCAACCTGGTCTGGTGGGAGATGTCCCTGCCCAGGGCAGGGGGATGTAATTTGATGATCTTCAAGGTCCCTTCCAACCCAAACCATTCTGTGATTCTCCCAAACTACCCAATAATGGTTTATCCCCAGCAACTCCTTAAAGAGCAGCAATTATAGACTGCACACATCTCAAACTTTGCTGTATCCAGCAAACTGGATTCCTTTATTTGTTTTTCTAAAGATAATTACGAGACATACATTTTCAGCTGGCTGCTTATTTGCTCTGTTTGACCTTACAAAGGACAAAACTAGGGTGTATCTCTTGTATCCAGCATGAGAAGGGTTTGGGTTCCTCAAGGACTGCTCTCCAAGTGTCCCCACAGCCGTGGAGGAGGCATTTTTTGGAGACATCCGTTTCTCCCATGATGGAAACTCACACCAGGGCTGTGCTAAATCCAGGCACTACTTCTGAAACTGTAACTCAGGTTGGTCTTTAAATCTTGGTCCAACTTCCTCGCGCTTCTGAAGAGCCCCTATTTAATATTAGTGATCTATTTTTAGATTTTAATTTTGGGTAGTCTTGGGAAGAGGGGTCGCCTCTCAAAGGTGACCTTCTGAAGCTGTGTTCTAAATAACACCCTGGCAAACGCTTTGTTTATTAGAGTTACTTTGTGGAGAAGCAATGAACCTGTTCCAATATCTCATTTACAACTAAAGTGCAGCATTCAGCTAATTGAATACATGGCTACTGTTAATTATTTTGTTACGGCTAATTGATATTCACTGGGATCATGTTGCTGCGGCCCCATAAATATAATATTACCTTACAGGTTTTTTATTTCTGCAGTGAATTCTCTTCTCTTGGCATATTTATATTGTCTCTGTATAAATAAATAATTTCATTTTTAAAAAAAAAACTTTGCTGTGTCTCCGATGCTGTACAAATGCCAGTGGTGATAGCTGTACAGAAGACAACTTTTTCTTTCCAAATTTCTTAATGGCCTACCAAATCTTTCGGTTACTTTCAGAATTTATATCCAAACCTTTGAATAAATGTATCATTTAGTGTTCTTATAATCTAGTATTTCTGTTTTATCAGTGATGTAATTGATAATATTGATATGTCAGGGCAATAAGCAGCGTGACTATAATTCTCTGCTTGGCCCCCATCTCTTTAGCGTAATAAATTCCAGCTGTTTTGATCACTAATTATCATGAGGAACAGGTAACCAAACCCAAAAACAACCCAAAAAGCTGACAAACTTTCCAGGGCAAAAAAAAATGCATTGGAAGAAATTGGAAATCCTTGGAAGAAATGAAGTTTGCATCCCCCTGCTCTTATTGTCTTTAATCTGTATAAATTCGGCGATTGGATGCCATTAAACAAATCCATTTCTCTTTTTTGAATGGTATTTGATCAGCCAGCAAGGCACAAATTATAAGAATTGAAACTCAGGGACACGTGTGGGTGCTGTGGAAAGTTTTGTCAACACAATTGTATTTGTGCGAGGTACAATTGCAGATTGGTAGGTGTGAATCTCAAAAGCAATATTTTCTAATCTAATTATAATTGTTACCAGTCTGTTCTTGATTTTTTGTAGAAGTATGAATTCTGTTTAATCCAGGATTTTAACATTTCTTGCTTTATTCATGCTGGCCTGTAAAACAGGACAGTAATGGGTGTATGACTTGCAGCTGCAGTGTTTTAAATGATCTAAACACATATAGTTTGACTTCATTCTGTGATTCTGTGACTGTAGTCTATAGTGTAAAGAGCTGAAGCACATTTAACTACCGAGACTATCTCATGCTAATTTAGTAAAAATCAACATTCTAGTAGCTTTGAGGTTGTCATTTATTTATTTTAATATTTTCACTGTTATAGACATATTCTGAACAATATAATAGGTAATATGGAAGCTTTTAGGTAATTCTTCTTGTTCAGCTTTTTTGTCTTCCACGCTCTATATTTCTGTTTTGTGACTAATTCTGGGCAAGATGTGATGTCCTACTAAGGTTTTTTGGGGGTACTTTTCTAGGAATATTATTATTTTCCTTGACATTGGTCACTGAGAGTTTATCTTTATCTGGTTAAAAGTTTCCAAACTCTTTCAGAGCTCACATCTAAGCCAGCTCTAATTGACCTGTAATGAAAAAAAGAAGAAGCCAGATGTCCATATCTTATTTATTTTTATATAGACTAGATGTCAATGTGTCCTGGTCAATTTTTGAAATGAAAAACAACAGTAGGAACCACATTATTTGATTATTAAACTGTAGTTAATGTGGATGGAGCCAGTGTGATGTAATTTTTTAAGGTGCATGGGTCTTAAATCCCTCAGCACTGTAATAAGTGGAAATTGAGCTGAAAATAGCAATGCAGCTATATCTGTGGCTATAGCAATAGCCACATATATTACTATAGCCACATAACATGGATAAAACTTGATTTTGTGTTTATAAAAGATACAAAATCAATGCAGAAGAGCAGCAAGTTTTTCTATGAATTGGAAATACAGCTCTAGCGTTGTGCGGTCTTCAGCTGTGCATAGTGTTAAACAACATTGGTGGTTTTATATCATTGTATGAGTTGGTTTTGGGTTGAACCACGGGAGATTTGTCATCTTCCTAAAATGGTTTGCGGCAATTGTGAAGGTTGGCTTTCCTTTCACTCCTCATTTTTATCTCAGAGAGGAAGGATCAGCTCATCTCCTGCTAATGTTTAATTCTGTGTGATGGAGAGAACCCATGGGACGTGATCAGCTCGACCTGGAGGAGAAGCTGGGTTCCATCTCCTCCACCCTTAGTGTCCCCTTGACCTTGTTGTGTTTTTCACACCCTGCAAATTTCTGCCCTTGTGAATCGTCAGAAACGAGGCAAGAGAATTAAGTCCTGATGCTCTCATGTGGGTTTTATTATATCTTACTGACTTTCCAGAGTCAGATTTGCTGCCTGGTTTCAGGTCATCGATAGAATCATGTGAATCACAATTGAGTTGTTAGAACTAAAACTTTACCGAGTTCTCATGAGCGTTATGGAACATTAATTTTATATTTTCTTCGTCACTGGCCTATTTAACACCACTTGCACGAAAGGAATGTTCTTGAGTTCGTAAATATTTCCAGCATCACGAGGTGGTTACACATAAAATATTAGTTTATGGGTATCTGTGATAATGCCTTGAAGTATCAGGTATTTGGAAGAGGATGGTTTGGGGAGCCACAACCTGCAATGAATTTTCAGCTTTTTCTATAACCATGGCAAGAGACAGGTTTTTGAGAGGTGATACAGGAATTACCTAGAAAAAGCAAACCCATGATCAATACAAAGCATGGTAGTTAGGCTTTAAAATATTTACTGTAATCAGCTTTGGAAAAAACCTGTAATTAGTTTTCTGGAGTGAATAAAGGGTGATTTAATGGGGGCGGACAGGGCTGTGGAATGTGCTCCATGGTGCTATGCTGAAGAGGAGGTGGTTGGCAGAAGGCAAGGTTTGCTTCATCCAAGTAGAATTAAAATTTGGCCGTGTAGAGCAGGGATATTCATGGTGGAGATTCATGAAAAAACCCCACAACTTTCAACTAGTTTCCTGCATTGTTCTAAATTACAGATATGCCTGAAGTGCGTCCTTTCTCCTCATCATTATATGGTGAATTGAATTTGACTTCTTGATTATTTTTGTTTTACATGCTTCAGGATATAGAAACAAAGGTAAGTATTAAGTTAGGAGCAACCAAAAAGCCAAAGTTTTTATTTTATTTTATTTTGGTTTGTTTTTCTTTATTTTTTTCTGTCTAGAACAAAAAAAAGTGCAAATCTTGACAAAGATCGTGTCTAAAGAACATGTATAGCACAATATACATACTGGTTTGTTTTTCTTTATTTTTTTCTGTCTACAACAAAAAAAAAGTGCAAATCTTGACAAAGATTGTGTCTAAAGAACACGTATAGCACAATATACATATGGTGTAAGTTTTCTGACATGCTTCTAAAGACCATGACCTGGAGGTTTCATCTTAATTAGTAAGAGTACAAAAGTTTATCGTTTTCTGTGATGCTGCTAAAATAGGAACTTTTTGCAATTGGCTTCGTAGTATCAGTACCTGGGTGTTGACTGGTGTTGAATAGACCATTGTGGTAATGACCCCTGATAGTTAATGATTAGTCACCGAAGGGATTTTATTATTAAAAAATTATAAGCCTGGAATGAATCCGCGCTGATAATTTAGGCATTAAATCCTCCATAGCTTGTTAAAAATCACTTGTCTCCTATTTCCTCTGGAGGACTTGTAGTTTTGTATGTATTCTGTGTGCTTGTGTGCTTTTTTAATGTGGTTTTGAATTCTTCATGAGTCCCCTTAGTACTACATATTCGAATGTACTACAGATGATAAGCCAAAAAAAAAAGTCAGCTTGCTCAGTAGCGCTGGAAGCAGTGTCTCTTAAATGAATACTCGAATTAGTATCCAAAAGACAGATGTTCAAAATTCTTCTGTATTATTTTAAGTTACTGGGCATGGGAGTGATCCCACAGCGAAGGGTTTCAGCTTGTTGAGTTGGATTCAACCCATCTAGGAGTTTCCATCTTAGTTACTTCAACCCATCTAGGGGTTTCCAGGTGAATAATTACTAATTGAAGAGGACGGCAGAGTTTTAGTTGTACTTTTTAGGTCTGCTTTTGCAAATACGTAAGAATTTGGCTCTTTCCAAATATTCACGTGTATAGAATGAAGCACATGCTAAATACATTCTTGAACTGGGGTTTCAGAGAAGAAAAAAAAACCAGCTACTTCAAAAGAATTCTTTCTGCCACTGCCTACAAATGTATCGATGCCCGTTCAGCTTTTCTCACATCAAAATATCCTCTTAGGAACAGTTGACAAATAAAGTTGAATATTCTGCATATATTCTGTTCAGTAGCTTAAGCAAGTTTCCCAAAGTTCAAGAGTGATCTGCAAAGTTGATTTTAAAAAAATAAATAAATAAAAGAATTAATCTCAGCAGGGCGTGCTTGGATCCATCTTTGTGACGTTTCCAGATACACGACACATTTGGACAAAATATGGCCCAGCTGTTGAGGAGGGAAGGAAAAAAAAACAACTCACCCAGGACAATAGACAATCTCTTTCCGTTTTCAATGCCCCAATCACCATCTTATTAATGTACTAATTGACCGCAGTTTTCAGTTGCTGGGTATTCCTTAATGCTACAGTTTATAGTGGATGTTGTGCTTTGCAAGTGATGCTCCCTCTTGATCCGGTTTTATTTTCCTCTTTTCTTTTTTTAGGCCAAGCAGCTGGAAGAGAAAGACAGGGAGCTGAAGAAGCACGATGCCTACTACAAAGAGCAGCTGGCTCGGCTGGAGGAGAGGGTAAGTCGCCTTTCCCTTTTTAACGAAGAATTCTCTCTTCCTTCCAGCTACTCACTTTCTGCTTGTGTTTTACCGTTAAACAAGATGCCTTTTCTAAGGAGATAAAGATTAAAACTATGGCCAGAGAGTTGGGGTTTTTTTTTGCTGCTGTTTCTGGCTGAATATTGGCAAGACGGAGGCTTTAGTGTTGAGGATATTGTTTTCTTTCCTAAGTTCTCACATTTGCAATGAGATTTTATGGCACAGTAATTGCATAAACCTTGAGTGCTGTGTCCAGTTTTGGGCCCCCTACCATAAAAAAGACATTGAGGTGCTGGAGCGGGTCCAGAGAAGGGCAAC